GGTCGCATCATCACACAATTATTAGCTACAGTCACAGCTGTCAAATCACGATTATTTATATTTTTTAATATAAGTTGCACTTTGGTACACAATTTGGGCAAAAAAAAAACACCTATATTATATTCACATATGCAAAACAATCGTAGCGTAAAATGACCCAATCTCAAAGTAAGGAGTGCCCAGGACTTTAAGTTACCAAATTAACTCAAACATGAAGATCACAATCAGCTTAGAAAAGTTTGATTCCTAAATTTATCCTACCGAGAATCTAGCCAGGGACCCCTCATCAAGAGATCACAGTGGTAATCACTCTTAGCACTTGTTTCAATTGAGAACTTGTGTCGGGCGAATATTGTTTGTTTCGCAGAATGAACCGATCGATTGGATTCTTCTATATAATTTGATAAATTTTATACCGTAGTATGGTCAAGGGGCCACAAAATGATGAAAGACGGCCCTTGTCAAAGCGTTATAAAGACTAAGTCTTATTAGCAAGTGACCATTGGAGTCGAAGTAAACATTTTATGAACTCCGTTTTATGACAAAATTATAGATAAATGTTTGGTACTTGTAAGGTTTTGCGATATGATACCTGAACATTCAAACGAATAGCCTTGTTCTATGAAATAGTTAATTTTATGTAGGAAGAAATTCAATGTAGGGTCAGCCGGGGAAAATGCATAATGTGGAGATCTTTTAAAAACTTACATTTTTATATATGAAAATTCAAGCATTGTAGTATAATCCAGTTTTACGGGAACAAATGAATACATTTATTATTAATCAGAAATTACAGTTCAAATATAAGCATTTATTATCTAAAATAAACTCGTACGCTCGTTACAAGAAAGCTACGTGACACGTACATGAAATATCACATACGTCAAAAATGCTTTATTCACTTAGACTATGAAAACCAATCCATCCTCTAAATCATCTAAGTTTATTCACATGAAAGTCAAAATAATAATACGAACTACGAACTACATTGTGAAACAAATTACTTATGCATGATTGTGTGAAATTTTATTTATTTTCTACTTGAGCATAAAAAGTTATAAAATATTTTTAAACGTAGAATTTTTAACCCTTCCTAAAAAATTGTCATTTTATAATATCATTGCCATAATGCACCAAAATTTTGATTAACAAGTTTCTTTTTGTTTAAGTTTATGACCCAGTTGCAGGCCAAGTCCTATTATTATTTAAAGTTCTTGATTTAAAAGTTAGTTTTAAACAGTTTCTGTTGTATGTTTCACAAATTTATATAAAGCACTGTTAACACTTTTTATTTTTAATTAGATCTGACATTAAGAGAACTATATTTTGATACCGATATGCACCAGTTTAAAAAAACTACATATTCTTTATTATACATTATAAATTATGATGAAGAATTTTGTATGTTTGTCCCACATGCGTTCCATTATTATTCATCTGATTGCGATAAAACTTTCGTGAATTGTTGTACCCGTGCCAGTGTTTGGAATATAAGATCCCACTGTTGGGCACGGGTCTTTTTTACGAAAAGGGTTAAAGTCGTTTTTTGCAAACCTACAGGACAAGATAAACACGAGTATAATAAATATCTTGATAATTGAAACCAAGACAAAATAAATTTAAATAATATACATACGTAACACCAGTATTACGCTATTTAACTGATAAAAAAACGATAAATTTTAATTCGTATGTTTTTTTTATTTATAAAACCACGAATCACACGAACACGAACAGCTTGTTTTTTATTTAATTCGTTTTTTTATTTAACTAGACAATTGAGAAAGACGTGAAGAATTACTTATTTCTAATCCATCACAATCAGTCTGGATTTTATGAAGTGATTTCTTTGAGTAATATTATTCTAATGGGGTTGACATGACTAAGAGTATATATGTATATATAGTAGTTGCAACATGGATTAGTAACAATCACTTTATTTTATTAACGTATGAAAACGACGAGTGTTAACTGAATTACTAATTTATTTTTATTACCATAGCGCTTTGCCTGACACAGTTTACATGGGAAGAGAGCGAAGGTCTATGTTGCCAAATTCTCAGAAATTTTTGTGTTTGATGTAACTTGCGCGGGCTACGCAAATAACCAGGCCCGTGCTTCTACAGCGGATTGTCAATAATATCTTTAGTAATTATTTTATTTTATTTATTGACGAATGACAAACTTTTTGACAAAATTGTACATGGTCAGTTATACAGAATAAGAATATCGGTTTTTTATTTAAATTTCAAATAAAAAATCTTCTCTTCTTTTCTCTTCTTCTTCTCTTCTTCAACTATCTTTGTTTTAAATAAACTTTGAAATTAAAATTATCGGTTTAGCTAATTGTTCAATCAACCACAACATCCACAGACTACTATAAAAATATAAAACTTTCAAATGAAGAATGATCGCTATTGTATTTTTTTAAAAGAAAATAAGTTTAAGAAACAAACAAACTTAATAACTTTACTAAGTACAATTAACAAAAAAAAAAAAAGAGAAAAACAGTTTCACAATCCACTACAGTCTATCATACCCAATATTTTAGTAGCCGCCATCTTAAATTTGTGAAAAAGAAATGTCTACTTTGGACAATAGCTCATTATAATTATGAAATAGTCACCTTAGAGACGTAAGTACAAATAGTCCATAAAGACGAGATTATCCCAATAAAGAAATGCCAAAAGGAATTATTGGTAAGCCGTGTTATCTCTTTCACATGGTTTCCTATATAATCAGGGACCTTTAAGGTGGCGGTACCTTATACTCGTTTTAGTTAAGTGTATTATACTCTTCAATAGCACGTATACTACGGTTTAGCCAAATATATAAGAAGAACGAGACTTAAAGCTGAGTAAGGTCCACGTAATTCATAATACGCAAAATATCACATAACAAAGGTAAACGTTAAGTACGAGAAAGGTCTTACAACCTATTTCTTTCCAAAAAAAGTTCACTTTTTACTTCTTCAAATTTTTCTGAACAACCAATACTAACCATCTCTATTACTATACGGTACAAGAGGCTGCGTAGCGTAAATAGAATAAAGAGTCACCTTAAGGCAAACCTCATTCCAGCAACTATTTTTACGTTTTTTTCTCGACCGATGTGGTTTGTCTAGCATTCCTGGTAGACATAGAATAATTAATACCTCGAGTTATGCTGGTTTTATGTGACACTATGGATGAAGACGCAAATAGGATTACGTATCTGCATGAAAAATCACGGGTCCAATTATGTGAGTCGTGCGATTTTTATTTTTAACACTCAACTCACAAGTTTAAAAAAAGAACAATATCCTCCTTGCAAATATTTTTTAAGAAATAATGACGTTTGCTTAGTTATATGCTATTTTATTTGTATAGTCCTATAAAATTGCATTGCACACCTATATTTTAAAGGAAGTTTAAATTTTTACTACTTTTTCTACGGTTTTCTCTGTTCACTAAAAACTTTATAACTCTTATTTAAAGCTTATTATTTTCTTAAGTTTATGAAACAACTTTATGATTTTTAATTAAAGCAAAATTAAGTATTTATGCATTTTTTGTCCTCTTGTGAATTACTATTAATTGGATCCATATTTACATTTTTTGTATTACACTGATATAAACAAAAATCCAATCTTAACTAATAAGGTAAGTACTTTAAATATCTCTGTCTTGCAAGTATGTAAGGTGATTATTACAAAGGCACTCGACTGTGATATAGAGCACATACTAAACAGTCGCGGCGTCTTTATACTTTTTTTAAGAATTGTATGGATGCCGTCACATCGACGCTCCGGATGGTGATAACACAACCATTTAACTAACTGGACTGAACTTGGGGTGCTATTATCCAATCGTGCGTTTTATATCGACATTATTAAGAGAAATTAATCATAAAGAATACTCTAGGTTTATGTAAAAGTGAATAGAAAAAGTATTAACCTACTTATTTGATTCATGTCTAATTTTGGAGCAAAAAACTAACTACAGACAATTTAATCTTATTTTACATTAATAAATGCGTTTTTAGGAAGACAATAACTCAGATGTGTAATCTACTTCTGCATTCTCTATAATAAAGCGAACGACTTCGAAAATAAGACCCTATAGAGATAGTAAACCACTTTTTCAACACTATTGAAACCTGAGCCTCGGTTTTGTAGACCTATCTTACCATTAAAGTAATTGAATAGGATTTATATGTATACGCCACTTGGTTGTGGAGGTGCTTTAAAAGTGTGAAATTAAACCTTAAAGACCGAACTCACTTTAATTGCTACGTGCACAAATCTATCAGGTTTAAAATGCAATCGAAAACATATAAATGGTGGCTAAAGTAGGTAGTTACTAACGTGCAAAGTGTTTAAATTTTTTGTGTTTTTGTGTTTAAAAAAAAGGAGGAGGTTCTCAATTCGACTTTATGTTTTTTATGTATGTTACGCGATAATTCCGGTATTTGAAAAACGATTCTGATGATTGTTTTTGTTGGAAAGAAGGTACCTCCAAAGTGGTCCTATTTAATTTTGAAGAAAATCATCCACCTCTAAGGGTGGCTGTTCACGCATGAAATCTCATTTTTATAAATAGCTCCTAAATTTTATTATAAGGAGCAATTATTTTAATGGTAATATTGCTATTCTCCAATTTAAGGTGTTTTTCTCTCAATATACTTCAAGCAGTGAGCACCTTTTTTATTATCTCCTGGGTCAAGTCCCGTATAGTGACGAACTAGGGGATGAATCCGGATTTGCGCACTTTCCGGTAGACGATTTCGATATAACTTGGCAAATAGATGTGATTCCACGAACTTTTGAGGTCGGCTTTTTAATGCTCTGTACTAATATTATTTACATATTGTTACATTATTATTGCAATATTGCTTTTTTCTATCCTTGTGTCTTCAGGCTTAAGAACTTTAGTCACCGTGATCCACGACTCACGTAATAAAAGTCTCATGGGGTTAATTCTCCACTGAATATTATCTGATATTTTTTTATTTTGTTTCAGCCCAATCGACCCCCAAGCTACAACATACTGCGTAGTTGCATCGCATAGAAAAAACTATACGTCACTATGTGCAGCCCAATACGACATTAAATTCCATCGTTTAGACAACAGACCGACAAATTGCAACCACGAAATGCGTCATTTAAATCCAACGCAAAATGGATTAAATCCCAAAACAGGCACATTCAACCCAAAAGTGGATCATTTTAATCAAAACAAAGACCACATTTATGAAAACGGGTCTCTCGAGTCGACAGAGGTTGATAATAAAATTGACGCAGACATTTATAACGTTTACGAGGATAATTTTAGAAGTATTTACAGAAGGAGAAAGTTTGGTGAGTTTCCATAACAAATTTCCAGATAATCATGAGTAGAATTCTCATTACTACTTGTACATAACTAAATTACATTACCAGCTCTGGAAGAGGAAAATTTATTCCTGCTACAAAACCAGGTAATGTAGAAAATATGTTTGTTCCCCTTACAAAACCAATATGGCGGACAGGTATTGAACGACGAAAAAAAACTGCTATACTTAGAATTCACCAAGTTTTCTATGCAAATTATTTTTCCTATTCTAAAAGTCACTTAAAAAACGTATGTATCTAATGAGGTTCTCGCGATTGTTACACATCACAAAGGAAACGAAATAATGTTTCCGTATCTAAATTGCGCATATTTGTTTTTTCAAACAAAAACGTTTCGTGCCCTTTACCGATCCCATGATTATGGCTGACTGAGATAGTAAAGTCATTAACCAATACACCTTACACCTTACAATACACCTTATTTTTCACTATAGTTAGAAAAGTTATTAATGAAATACCTTATTTTAAAATTTTCCAAAGAACATTCCAATTTTCGCTACGTATGCTATACAAAATTATTTTATTTTATTTTAACAATATGAACTTTATTAAAATAAGAAAATGAAATTATTTTCCCGGATTTAAATCGCGTATATCTGTTTTTTCAAACAAATCAACTTGAAATTAAATTACATTTATTTATTAGTCAGCCATGACGCCGTGACCATGGGACCCGTAAAAGGCCCGAAACGTGTTTGTTTGAAAAAACAAATCGACCCTGGAAAGGCAAAATGGGATAAGCGACACTTTTGGTACTTTGAGACATATATACCGTTGTAATCAGAAACATTAGCCGATTCCAACGGTATATATAACTCAATAATTACTAAAAGTGTCGCTTATTCTATTTTGCCTTTCAAGCGTCGAAATATACACGATTTGGATCGGACAAAAATTGTTTCATTTCCGAAACGTATGTAATTCATAATTAGCCTTTCTTATGCCAGGACGCAGCACTACAGTGACTGATGAAGATCCAGTGATAGCTTGTGTTGGCGATAGGACACATCACGTCATTGAAAACTTAGATGCAGCTTTGGTAAATATTTTAACTACTCGTTATGCGCCGCTGTATTATTGATGACCTACGAGCAGGTCCCGGGTTCGATTCATGGTAGGACCAAGTTTGGAAAATTAACTTTTCTTAGGTTCCATACAATGAGGTTGGTCCTCAAGACCTGTATAAATGTGGAGCACCAAATTTAATAGAATTTATTTTTTAACATACTCACAGCCCCGCACTATGAAAACCCTGTGTCGCAGGTGCCATGGACACACACATAGACAAACACAAATTACACCCAAATTCACGAGATAAATCAAATATAACTAAAATCTATATATATAAAAAGTAATAGATATAAAATCGAACCCGGGACCTCTGCGTGGCAGTCCAGCTAGGTAACCGTTCAGCCACGGAGGCAGTTATTTATATATTAACTGCATGCATTCGATCTTGGCTGTATGAAGTCGGTTTCGAATTCATGCAGTTAATGAGAGAAGTCGTTGTCAACTTCATGCAGTCGAGGTCTCGGATAACGACTTCACACGACATCACGCATTAAGTGCAAACGTACAGTCAATCTGTTAGAAGTCTTACGTAACACGGGGCGAAATGAATAGTTTTATTTTCTCTGGTGAAATATTCGAGAATTTGTACGAACGACTCTTACAAGTGCAATCTGTCGTGTGAGTGACTCAATATAATTTAAACCAATAATCGCAGTACAGAGTACTAAAAAAACCGACCTCAAAAGTCATTCATCCCCTAGTTTGCCACCCTTAGATGTGGAACGCTTTCATGAAATTTAAATGGGACCACTTCTGAGGTGTACTCTCTTTCCAACAAAAATAATCATCAAAATCGGTTCACAAACTTGAGTTTTGAGTTGTCGCGTAACATGCATAAAAAAAAACATACATAAGTCGAATTGAAAACCTCCTCCTTTTTTTGAAGTTGGCTAAAAAATGTTACAAAAATTAGGTGACTGCGCTGCTGCCACTGCATAATTTTATGCATAATTTTCGATAGATGTTGTCATCATGTACGCATTAACAATTATCCATAAATTTCAATACGCACATCTAAAATAAATAAAATGTATTTACCATCCAACCTTGGTAACATTAGTATGCTACAGCTACTGTAATAGTAGCTACGTTTGTATTTACATTGGTTAATTCTGAACCGCAACATGACCACACAGGTCATGTTGCGGTCAGTGGGTTAAATTATTTTGTTCAATCTATTACAATACTCTATTTTAAAGGCTAAATTTCACAGGTATTTGGTTTGTGCAGTACTGTACGTAACTACTGAAACTTTATTTCGTTCTAATGTAACTATTTGACATTGTTAGTTTACCGCTCATCATCAAAGAACTTTAGTTCATAGGTAACCAAATTACACATGATATCATCACATTATGATATGATGATTAAAATTACTGCCCATTCATAATGAAGATTCCTCTATTTTTTTGTAAATATCAAGTGACGGGACGAATAAGTGGTGCGCCTGGTGGTAAGCGACACGCCTATCTATAACAGTTGCAGTGCCACTCAGAGCTTTAAGTTGCAAAGATCTTAGGGGCACTGCCATTGCGCACGTCACTCTGAGATATAAATTGACAAGTCCTATGTGCCTGTAATTTCACCAGCACCCTTACCCTTCCAAATCGATACGCAGTCATGCACACATTACTGCTTGATGGCAGATGTAAACAAATGATATGTTTTGTTGCATCACATGCATTAAATAGCCGAAACCATTCGTTTATATCATCTATTTAATTTTATTTTATGATAAGGTTTCCAAGCTTGGCCCTTAGCACCCAGTTACACGAGGAAAAAGTATTCGCGCGGCCGCCGCGCGGGGTTAGCGCGATGAAATTTGTATCGAATAAATGCGCCCTTATGTTTTTAAATATACAATGTCCAGCTTAAAATCATTTAAACTATTTTTTTGTCTATTATGGCATCCCCATTATGGCGTGACGATGTATAGTCTTGCAGTTTAAAGCGTCGTAGCTTGTATATTTAAAAAATGAAGTTGTTCGTACATAGAACAACACGACTAACTGTCGTTCACGACTTTTTTGCCGTTATGACGGCAGACTGTCGTGACAACGGGAAGAGCTAGAACGACAGTAGTCTGATAATAAATAATATTATACGTCATGATAAAAATGTGACGACAGATAATCGCAGCTTCAAATGATTCTGTCGCGCAAACAATAAGGCGGCTGCCGTGAACCAATACATTGTCGTCACGATCTAGTGGGAACAGCTAGTTACGACAGTAGTTCGACGATAAATAAAACGTTACGACATACATAATAAATAGTACCTAACAATTGTAAAAACTACTAAATTTAGATAATAAATGACACTAAAGCTTGAATTTCAAATAATGGTACCGTACATTTAGTTAAATTCAGCTTATTTCGAATTATAAAAAATCTTCAATTATCATTAGTTCAATTGAAGTGTTGATGTCATTATAAATCCATAACAAAATTAAAACCCGAGAACAAGAGCAATTTTACTTTCAACAATCAACGATAGAAAAATAAAAGCAATTCGTGTAATATACCCGAAAAGAACTAAATCAACAATCGCCGAATTCTCAGCTACTGAAATTAATTTCCAATCCCCCAGATTTTCCCGTCACGCAACACAAACAACCGTAAAAAGGTAAACAACCTAAAGAATCAAGTGATCATTTCGCATGAAAACATAAAGCCTATTTTAATTAGCTGCTTTGATCTGTAGAGAATATAAATTTTCTATAAATCTTTTTTGACTTTTGAATTATTTTTGTGAGGCATGTATTTAAATGATCATTTTTTAAATTTGCAAAACCAGCAGGCAAAAAAACTAAACGGTCGTCTTTTTTACGAATAATCCTCTTTGTCTGAGACATAAAATAAATTAAATCAATGGATATTTTAATCTATACTCAGCTACGCAAAAAATGTTTCATTTGTATAATTAACTTTGATGTTGGGTCTCAAAACTAAGACAAATGAGTATTAAAAATAAAATTTACACACTTACTTTTCAAACTAAGTAAATGTTGATTATATTTGTATACTAATATTATATTCATTATAATATAATTTGACCTGAAAACATGTTTGGAAGCGCAAGCAAATTGGCTTCTGGCAATCGCCGGCCGCTGCCGCGGCACGCTCGCTTCGTTGGCCGGCTCGTGCTGCTTTTTCTTATATTAACGTACTGAATGGAGGGCACAACCAAGTAATCAAGATCTATTAGGAGATCAATATCAAAAGATAGACTGGTTATAAATGTCATCAATTGTAAAGAAAAGACCAATAAAAAAAAGAGAGTCAAATACTACTTCATTTCACACCAAATATTAATTTAGTAGGTATGCTTAAACATAATGATAATGTTACCTTGAATGCATTTCATTCATAATTTATCCGTAGATCAACTAATATAGATGGAATAATCAATATATTGTATATCCATCTAGTATATAACCAGAAATAGAGACGAAATGTTATTTCATTTGTTTGAAAACTATTCTGCCATATCATTACTCCGATTGGCTAGCCCGAGTTCGAAACAAATTGACGGGTGTCGTCAATGGGTGTCGTCAACTGTTTCACTTCAAATCGACCAGTTAACTTGAGCTTTGCTATAATGGACGAAAATTGCAAAATTACATAATTATTTCATACTTAATTACCGATGAAATGTGATTCCGTTTGTTTTGTAATTAGATGTTTTGCCGTTTTTCTATACCACCAAATAGAACAGCACGGCATTGTTTGAGATACAATAAATACATAATATTTTTTGGAATATAAGGAGACGTATATTTCAGTGGAAACGAGAGTTGATATTTATAAGAGCTGTATCGCTAATGTGTTACCAGGAATATGTGGCCCTTATTTCGTCTCTGTTTCTGGTTATGTACTCGATGTGTATATCAAACATAAAAAAAATCGTTTATTTAAAAAAATGCTTATTTATAATAGATCAATTATATCTTTGAGGATCAAATAATATTATCCCTTTTTGTGACTCTAAAATATGTTTTAATTATATTTTAACTCGTTTATAATGCATCGACTGAACACTACGCCAGCTTAATTCTTTTGTCATTTTCTGTTTTTAATATAAATTATACAGAAATATAAAAACGCTGACGATGTTGGCGATACATTATTATAATATTAAATTACAATTAAGAAAATACACAAATAGAGTGAAGCTACAGTACTGACACGCCAAACACGCTGTGATGGCCGTTTTGACAGATTACAATAGTGAGGTTATATCGTGTTAAATCTCAATTCATTGTCGAAAAAAATATAATCAAATGAGAGCCGCATCTTTAAGTTTTTAGATTTATAACTAGCATTGCAAACGAAAATAATAATCTCAGTACAGAGTACTAAAAAAACCGACCGAATTACATCTACTTGCCAAGTATTATTGAAATCGGTTACTGAAAAGTATCCCCTAGTTCGCCACTATACGAGACTTAACACAGGAGATAATAAAAATCAGTGCTCACTGCTTAAAGTATATCGAGAGAAAAACGCCTTCAATTGGAGTACTTATAGCAAAATCAATATAAAATGATTATCACTAATTCCAGGTTTCTTACCACGGTATGACTTCTTTTTATTTTCCCGATATTTCGGAACGGGTGCACGCTCCATGATCACGGGTTGACTGGACGGCAGCAGATGACAGCTTTAAGAGCAGAAATATCTGTTTACCCTCTTGCGCTGTCGACGACTACCTTCATCGTGATTTGTTGTGGCGTTACCATTGTCACTCACTTTTTTCACAGAAACCACACTAAAAATAATTGCTCCTTATAAAATTCAAAATTTAGGCGCTATTTATGAAAATAAGGCTTCATGCGTGAACAGCCACCCTTAGAGGTGGAATATTTTCTTTAAAATTAAATGGGGTGGTCCTGAGGAATCCTCTTTCCAACAAAAAAGAATCATCAAAATCGGTTCACAAATTTAGTAATATTATAATAGTAGTAAGTTTAGTACAGGGTTTTCGCGTAACATACATACAAAAAAAAAACAAATATACAGTCGAATTGATAACCTCCTTTTTCGAAGTTGGTTAAAAAAGAAAGTATTGTCCAAACAAGTAAATGAATCTGCGCCTGCAAATTTGGAGGTGGTGCTTATGTAGGATGACGTGGATTGTATGTAAATTTAAGAGATATTTTCCGTTTCATTCAACAAATTCCACGCAAGCGTGATGAAATACGGGCGAAATAGTTATACAAACTTTTAGGTATTAAAGAAAATAAACCTGTCCCTCTGTTCGTATTTACCCTTGCTACCGTTATGATACAATCAATGACCCACATGTTGTTTTCAGACATATTTTGTAAGTGTGTTCGGAGTAGCGAGAGATCGAAGAGCTGGATCCCTGCTCGCCACTGGCAGCGTACGACCGAGAACTTCAACGGCAAAACGATTGAGGGAAAATGTGCCTTCTAAAAATGATATTAGAAGCAAAACTGTTTATTATTTTAAGGTAAGTTAATAGATAGGTGAATTATATGCAAATAATAAATAAATAACGCACACATTCCTAGCCCTACACTAAGAAAACCCTGTATAGCGAGTGCCATGGGCATACACATAAGCAACCACAAATTACACCCAAATTCACGAGAGAAATAAATTGCCCATACAAATATTTCTCCCGGACCGCGATTCGAACCGAGGTCTCTGCGTGGCAGACCAGTATGGTGACCGTTCGGCCACGGAAGTAAGTAGTTAAATAACGAAGGTATTTAATAGTAGTTTATGTGACTGTTACATAATGAAAGGACTTAAAATACGAGTGTGGGTTATGAAACGAGCCGACAGGTTAGTTACATAAAAACGTCACACGAGTGTTTTAATGCCTTATTATGTAGTTACATACACTGCTTTATCTATACACATATTATAAGCTCTCTATGATGTGTTTAGAAACCGCATGTTACGACTGGCGAAATGGCGGCAAATAAAACTTTTGTCACGCATGTCACACAACCGTAGTTTTTATTTCATTCATAGACAAACTAGAGTCGGTCCAACTATTATATCGTTCGATATCAAGTAACGTGTGAAATTTGTCTAAATTTTTTGCTATTGACATTTCATTTCGAATAAAATTTCATCTCGACTGATATTAGAATTGAGGTCAAATCACATTGTTCTGTTTTTCAGAGATGTTCGAAATTTGAATGTCAGTTTGAGTGTCGAATTCGATGTTATGAAGCCATTGACTTACAATTATATGGACGTCGGGTCCGCGCTAAAAAGTGTCCGAACTTATTGGGCGTTAAAATCGTATACAGAGCGTCATTCACGCTTTAGTCTTCGTTTGTGCGACTGACAGCGAAGCAAGCAAAATTAGACAGTACTGCGATGACATTACAATTTCAATTCAACGTTTTAGCTTTTTCATATTCCTTTACATGTCACTACGTTTAAATAGGTTGACTTGAGACATTTTTTTCGTGGTTTTTGTATTAGACCCGTCGTCCATTTATTTGTAAGTCAATGTATGAAGCAATAATAACATTTTCATAGTTAAGAAATTTGTTCTAACAAAACAATTGACCTATCAAAACAAAAAAGTTTATTTTTATGCTGGTAGTAATTTGAGGTTTTTGAACACATCACAGAGGCTTTATATGTATAGTATAGTAGGTGTGTAGATAAAATATATATAGTATATTGTATAACGCCTCTGGCGGTAACAAGATAAACTAATATTTTCCAAGATAATTATAGCACTGTTAACCTCAAAGTAGAGCTAGTGGTCAATAAGTACTTTTGTCCCTAAATATTAACAGTCAAAAAGACTTTACAAGAATTAGGTTAGGAGAAGGTCGAGCAAGAAAGGCCCGTTGAGGTTAATCAATAAAAATCCATGAAACTGAAAAGAAATTAAATGAACGAAGTAAACATAACCGAGCAAAACCTTTTTTGTTAATATAATTAACAAACCAAATAATCAACATTACAGAGCGAAATCACTTTAGAAAAATTGCCAAAAAACCAGTGGCGAGGCATGAAAATTGTCGTTAGTAAAGCCAGAGCAAAACAAAAAACACCTAACTTAAGAAAAGGTGGCACGTTGGCAATACTCAAACACAACTTATTAGCACGCAAGGTTACTTATATGTATACTTCATTTCACTGGTTAACTTATTCTACACATAAGCACACAATCCAATATTTGATAATACGTTGAAATTGAAATTTTAGGCAAGCCGGTGAAAATCGAGTTACATGGACGGACGCCTCGCCACTGCAAAAAACAGTTTTGCCCGTAGAGGGTCGGTAAAACAAGGGTACCCCAAGCGGCCAAAAAGAGTACAACATAATATGAATTACGTCCTAATCAGTGTTTCTGATTTCTGCGCAACGCGGCTTTACTCTTTCGGTAGAATAAATGTCTGTTTAGAAGAGAATATGTATACCAAAAAGCTCTCTTAGTTTTTCTTTTGTAATTGAACACCGTCTGTAATAAACATATTAAATTAAAATGATGCGTTCATAAAAAATAACAAGCGTTCGCGTGACCGTTCCATTGACGATCGTCAACTGTACTGAACGTATTTTTTAAACTAGGTTGCGTCATGGATCCTGAAAAGAGTTTTGCACTGGTGGTATTGATAAAAAAAATATAGGAAAAAAACACAAAGAACATTAACATAGCAGGAATGCACGATGCGGAGCAATTCACAAATTCTTGCCATGCCTCGTGGAAGCTCATCCATTTCTGTGATGCAACGTCGCATCGCAGCTTTGTGTTTCGACGCTTATGTCTACTTTGAATTGGAATTTAGGTATATTTCTATTTTGTAATCAGTTCATTTCTAGACTACGTTATTTTGGCTAACATAACCTAACCACAGTTAAATCACAATAAACCACTAAAGTCTGAGATGTAGTCGAAGTCCAAAAATGTAAATAAACAATTGTCACTGTCAAAGTAACATCTCATAGATTATAAACCTTAAATAAATAATAATAAATAACGCACACACTCAACATAGCCCCGCACTAGGGAAACCCTGTGTCGCGAGTGCCATGGACACAAACATAGACAACCACAAATTACACCCAAACTCACGAGAGAAATAATTGTAGGCCATACAACTATTTCTTCCGGCCCGGGAATCGAACCTGGGACCTCTGCGTGGCAGTCCGGCATGGTAACCGTTCGGCCACGGAGGCAGTTAAACCAATTTATCCATGTTCGTTTATTAACAGGTTCCACTGTATTCCGACTAATACGTTATAATTGAAAAGTACCCTTTTGGGTTGTACATTTTACAAAACCCTTAGAATCATTTTGTGTCATAAAATATTTTCAATTCAAAAATTACTAGGAAATGAAAAGGCTCACGGCCCATAGAAAATTACGCAAAAGAAACATCTTAGAATATTGATTATATTGGGAATATAAACTATATTTTGATTTCTATATCAGCGGCTAACATGTAAAATATTGACTTTTGTTTTTACTCAGGCAAACTATTAATATTCATTTAGTGGCCGGGTTTCAAATGTATACTTATAGACATTCATTACCATAACCTTCTCGGTTACGGACATTGCAGAGCGTGGTCTTTTTTTCTGCCTCCATCTATCTATCTAAAACGAAAATTCAACAAGAAATAAACACAAAACGAAAGCTCAACAATTAAAAACAAAAACTCAATAACATGACGCATACGCAGCAAGGAACAGATTCGATAACAACAGTCGCCAGAAACCGAATGAAAAAAGAAAATCGCGGTGATGCACTGGTACGGATGCAACCAGACAACTTAACTCCTTATGCATCCCTATGTATCAAAAACTGACTTTTCATTTTTTAGTTCGTTGTAATTAACACTATTTAGTAATGAACCAATTTATTATTTCAATTTTATTATTCTTAATAAAAAAATAACTTAATAAAATATTAAAGTAATAGTATTATAGCAATAAATTATTCACACTCCTGCTTAAAAGTATTTGTGTTTACAAAAAACAAATAAAAAAAATCCAATAAACAAAAAGGACAGCCAAAGGTTGTTCACCCCCGAAACATTGCCAATAGGATAAAAAATCGTTCCACAGGAAATAGTTTTTTGAGATAATCTTATTAAATAAAAAATATGATTTGATAATACTTTAAAACATATTTTGTTTGTTGTTGTACAATTTAAAAACAATATAAAACATCTTGCATTAATTTTGAGCCCTTTTCACTGTTCCACTATTCGTAAAGTATTTTTTGTAATTTCATCACCTTTGTTTATATTATTGGACTTTGATTTCATCTCAGAGTTAACAGTGTGCAAATCATTTTCATTTTCAGACTACAGTGGGTTCTGGAGGAGGTGTTTGGATGACAATATCGACATGCGGTGGTGCCGTCGATTTGGAAGTATTAGTTAGAGGGAAGAGGTTATATTTCAAAAAGAATATAGGTGAAAATATACCTTCAATACTAGCTGTACTGCGTTGTAATGCTCCTGAAAAGAGAAACTGTTCGTCTAACTGCCCAGACATTTAATAAAACATCTGACCCATCTGATATTTTAAAATGTTTCTAATATTTACGTATAAAAGATCATTAGTTGTGAGAGTGTATAACAACTCACGAAAATTTTAAGTCAATTGGTTGAATAATAATGGAACGCATACGAAATAATCTCAGTACAGAGCACTAAAAAAACCGACCTCAAAAGTACGTGGAATTACATCTATTTGCCAAGTTTTTTTGAAATGGTTACCGGAAAGTGCGCAAAGCCGAATTCATCCCCTAGTCCGCCACTATGCGGAACTTGACACAGGAGATAATAAAAATCGGTTCTCACTACTCGAAGTATATTGAGAGAGAAAAACGCCTTGAATTAGAGAATAGCAAAATCAACCATTCAAATAATTGCTCCTTATAATAAAATTTAGGCGCTATTTATTAAAAATGAATCTTCATGCGTGAACAGCCACTTAGAGGTGGATGATTTTCTTCAAAATTAAATGGGAACACTGTGGAGGTACCCTCTTTCCAACAAAAAAAGAATCACGAAAATCGGTGCACAAATACCGGAGTTATCGCGTAACACACGTACAAAAAAAAACATACAGTCAAATTGAGAACCTCCTCCTTTTTATGAAGTCGGTTAACAATAATATATAAAGTATATACTCATAGTGGAATTACTTTTACCGAGTCATTTTGAAGGCTAGAGGCTGTAAATTCGCACCAGGCAGCGGGGCGCTCGGCGGACGTTAAAGATTCGCATCGAGCATTGAGCGTGGGCTGTCACGTGCAGCGTAAACGCAAGTAGTTTTCGCTAGAATAAAATAGAATTCCAACTTCTACTATTATATCTTTCAGACTTTTGCTTTAACAACAATCACATTCACCAATTAAAAATTAATGGTTGTTAATTAGCATTATTATTAGTACATAAAGTGTAACCAAAAATATTAAACCACACTGACTACTTATTTAATCCGTAAATAGTATTTGACCTCAACACTTTACATACTGTCATATATCGTTGCGTAAACTCGTATCTTACGCACAAAGTTACTGAAATGCAAAAAATGGATTGTCTAAATAAATTTAGCAGGCTGATTTCACATGACATTTCCTTCATATTTACACATTGACTTTTCATCATCATCATCATATCAGCCGGTAGACGACCACTGCTGAGCATAGGCCTCGCTCAAAGATTGCCACCCAAGGAGCACACTTTATAAGCCTTAAAACTGTTATACCTATAAACAGTCTTAATATGGTATAGATTTAGATAATAGTTCTCTATAAATGGTTTTAGAAAAAAGAAATTGTTCTTATAGACTTATTTCACTCAAGTCAAAATTTTAATACCAAACATCTTAATTAAGTGTAATCTCTCTTAAGATTTACTCTTATAGTCCTTATTTTAAGTTCATCTGTAGAACAACTGATTTATTTTCAGTAAAATTGCTCTATACACATCCAGTATAGCCTATTAATACTCTTAAAACTAGTGTCTTAAGTTTATTCTGGATATATTTAATTTATAGACATTCTGTAGTGTTTGTACTTATTAGCAAACACGTTATAGCGCGTCTTCAGTAGATTTTATTTAAAAAAATACTACAATTAGGGTTTTTACTCTATTGGACGTTGTAAGAGTTTATGCAAAATGGATAAAGTAAAGAATATTAAAAGATCTGGTGGAGGTGGTAAACCTTGGATATTAAGTCACATCATTCGATACAATCAGCGTTGCCAATGCCAATTGTTCAAAATCCCCAAAAATCACTATATAATAATAATAATAACGTACACACTCAACCGCACTAGGGAAACCCTGGGTCGCGGGTGCCATGGACACACACGTAGACAACCACAAATTACATCCAAACTCACGAGAGAAATAAATGTAGGCCATACAAATATTTCTTGAATTGAACCTGGGATCTCTGCATGACAGCCCGGCATGGTAACCGTTTGGTCACGGAGGCAGTTATATTAATTGTAATATTAATTAGATTCAACATTAATCTGTAATGAGTCTGAACAAAAAATCATTTTTCTTTGCCTTACAAAATTAAGTAAATTGATTATTTGTTGTGCATTTGGTGACACTATGTTAACGTTAGAAATAATCAATGAGTTTCGACCTATATTTAATATTTAAAGTTGACGAGTGGTAAGTTGTGGTGTGGAAGTACTAACTGCTAGGCTTTGTTTATCAACAACTGATTTAGTTTTGCTTCATACCGGGGACCGTCCTAAGCGGGAGAAAGAATCGCGAACTCAACACGCACCGACTGGTAATTTTACAATTCAGAACCAAGTGCTTGAATAATAATTCTATTTAAGCTGCTTGTTAATAATACGAGGGATGTGCGATTTTGAATAACACGGTGATATAGTCCATCACAGTGTTTCTAACAGTAACGATCAAACTAGCGATGCATCAGCAATTGATAGATTAAACAAAATTATAAAATGTTAGAATCCCCACATTTTATTTTTAACCTCACATAGCGCCAACCCCCACAAAATCCCCTATCTAGTTGAAACTCCCCACAATTTGGGGAATTCCCTACAAATTGGCAACGCCGGATACAATAGTCGTAATTCGCGCTCGGGCCGGTCGTGGCCGGCATTTGTTTGTTGACAAATAAATAAACATTGTGAATTAATTCCGTGTTGTGAAATGAATTGAATAAATGAATTGAATTGATAAAAACAATTGAAATGAGCGCGTAAACTACTGTACTTCAATGTTATGTATGTGTATTGTGCCGTCTATCAATAGAATACAGTGAAATCATTGTGTGCAATGTGGTTGGCGTGAAAAAATAACGTCAATTTTGTAATGAAAAACGTTTTTTTTTTGCGATAAATTGGATTTTTTCCAATTGTTTTTTTGAACTAGTGTTTTGAAAAGTTTTTTATTGCATAAACTCATTTTTTCCCAAAACCTTATAAAGGTTTTGTAATACTGTCAAAAGAAAAAATCGCTTAGAAACATCGCGTTTTGTAGACAATCATAAAAATCTCATAGGAGGAATATTCTTCGACAAGTTCAACTACACTAAAGCAAGTAAAAATAATCTTTTCGTATTCTAAAGTTTTTCCATAGATAAAGCTATAGACAAAATGCTCCCAACTGTGTTTTGAAAAAAGCTTTAAATTCTTATCGCCATTTTTATTTTTAAAGAATGACTATGAAGTAGCCGAGAAAAATTTATTTTCTTTTTAAAAAGTAAATCTAATTAAATTGTTATTGAATTGATATCCAATTATTTTTTGTGAAATTACTCCACTAGTTTGTTATAATTATTAATACAAAGATCGAACACTCAGAAAAAATTCCTTCGATCCGGTCGGATTCGAACTGACGTCTTCTTGCATACCGTGTCAGACGCTATACCAACTAAGCCACGGAACGAACCAACGGACCTCACGAATTTTTTTATGTGCTTGCGTCGTATCTTTGTACTTGGTCTTTCAACGACTTTTTAGTCGTAGCGCCATCTATGAGAAATCTATGACAGATTTATCACCCAGTTAGTACCTTTACAGCTACCAGTCCTGGCGAGAGATGTCGCTATTCACTGTATTAATTAAATTTTTATTGAATTGATATTCAATTATTTTTTGTGAAATTACTCCACTAGTTTGTTATAATTATTAATACAAAGATCGAACACTCAGAAAAAACACTCAGAAAAAATTCCTTCGATCCGGTTGGATTCGAACCGACGTCTTCTTGCATAACGCTATACCAACTAAGCCACGGAACGAACCAACAGACCTCACGAATTTTTCTATGTGCTTGCGTCGTGTCTTTGTACTTGGTCTTTCAACGACTTTTTAGTCGGAGCGCCATCTATGAGAAATCTATGAAAGAAGTTTTGTAAAAATAATAAAATATTCGAAAAATCTTTGCATCACATTTTGTTTACAATTTAATTTTGGGGAAATTCAAAACTTTTTTCTGTTGTTTACACTTACATAGTTACTATAATATATAAAAAGGATGTTGACGCCACTACCCACTACAAGCTCACAAAGTATACTTTTAATGGATTTATCATACTTATAACGTGGTTTGGCGATTAGCTCTAATCCAGTCCAGGAAACTACTGTTACTTTACCGTTTTCTACTATCAAGAAATAAATTTTATTGACTTTTAAATCTTATTAGTAAATCTAAGTTGAAATTAGCTTGAAGAAGCCTAGAACTTCTTGGAAATGGTTTTTTTGTGAGTTATTTTATATATTTAAGCTTTCTATAAATATTTAAAACCGAAAATTGATAACTGTATTTTTATTAAGTTTATATTTTATACATAAATATTTAAAATTTAGCGAGCGCATTACTTTTATGACAGGTTTTACATCGCTTTTCACAATGTATTTAAAGTCGCACGTCAATTTGCGTTTTCTAACCGATTAAACATTGCGCGAAATTTTGATAGTTTATATTTTGTAAGCCATTAAACTTGAAATCTATTAGTATTAAGAGAATTGCGTCCTATGTTTGTAACGCTTTAGTATTTTGGTTTTAAAATAGCATTACTAAGAAAACTATCATAGACTATAAATTATCTAAAAACTATCTACAAGACTTAATGAAAACTGTCAACATTCTACAAGTGGCCTTGTAGCATTCTTAGAAGAAGTTTTCCTAGTTTGAATTCCTAGAAGGGTTACTGAAGAAAAAACATAAGAATCACTCTTAACACTACCTACAGATAGTTTCTCAAAGCACTCTTGTGATCTACTAATAAAGTTGTGCTCACTTTTACTTTAAATTATCTAGAAACCTTCTTCGAGATATCTTGAGGGAATTTGAACTCTTAAAATTTGCAATCGAATTAAATTCTATTAGATATCTTATAGTATATATTTAGATACGGGTGTGCTGCTTGGGCAGACTAGTCGGTCGGACGTAACGTGCATCCATCT